TCCCTCTCTCCCTCCCTCCCTCTCTCTGTGGGTGGGATTGGTTTCCTGAGAGGAATCCTAATTTCTTTCGCTTATGTGACCAGCTTACATATATTTGCTTATAACAACTGAGGCGGGGCCAAATACGGGTTAACATGTAAATGTAATTTATATGTTCTAGGTCTTCTATCTCTACTGGTGAGAATTTCTTATGCTTCTTGCTTCATTAATTATGCCAATTGTGAACTTCGTTGTTTAGAGGCCACACTTATCTTTCGACAGTTCTTACGAACTGGCATGGATGCTTGCGAGTCATTCCCTTATACACAATATGAAGTTGCTGAGTTAGTCCATTGCTTTATTGAACTGATCTGCAGATGTGACTGTGCAACATGAAGAGCAGATTTTAACTTGTAGTATGCCTGATATGGAAGATTATGGAAATCAAGAAGAGGAGATTGTGGCAATGATTGAAGAGACGCCTGCAGTTGTGGAATTGCCAACAAACCTAGTTGGTATGTACAATCTATTCTTGCTCTAATCCTCTATTGTTTGTTAAAGAATTTGATTGACCATCAATTTGAATTTTTCCATTATTTTTCAAAACCTTTGAATGGCTCTCTCAAGTATGGTACAGCTTTTTAGTTGATATCTATAACTCCTCTGCATTCGCCATATTTCATTAAATTTGATAACTGGAATTTTGGACCCCGTGATAATCCTTTAGTCAGTCTTGTTCTACATCTTAACAAAACGAATGGGATATTCGTGCAGAAAATGAATTAACTCAGACCAATGAAACATCCTCTACTATGGACTGTTCACCTGTTCAAGTGAAGACGATACACATTAGTTCTCCAATTCTAGCAGCAAAGAGTCCCCTTTTCTATAAAGTAATTTATGTTTAATATGGTTTGTCTTCCTCTTTGTCTACTTCTCAGATGTAGATTTTCCAATGTTTTTTTATCTCCTCTTTTATAGTTGTTCTCAAATGGCATTAAAGAGTCAGAGCAGCGACATGTAACCATAAAAATCCATGCCTCAGGTAAACATAGATACATATTCTTGCTGCTTATTTGCCATTCAAAAATAATGTACTTAAATGATTAGATTCTTATTAGGTTTAAATGCAGATTGTATTTGCCTATTTATTCAATCTTTCAGTAGAGGTTTTGAAACTGAAAACTCTCATTTTGGATAAAAAAAAAAAAGGCTTTCTTTTGGTTGTTTATTACCAGCTATGGAACACGTCTCTGATCTTGAATAGGGTCTGTGTTCATGAGGCAAGCCTCAATTGCTCTGCTCAAATATCACATCTCTCTCGAAATGAAATGATAATATGTCAGTTTCTCCTCATTAATCTGTTTTTAGATACCTGTTTGAATTAATTAATTGAACTCAACTCAACATGAATTGGGTATCCGCTATTGTGAGCAGAAGAAGCTGCCTTCATGGATCTGCTGAACTTTATGTACAGTAATTCTCTACCTAGAACCAGACCTTCAGATTTGCTGGATGTCCTAATGGCTGCCGACAAATTTGAAGTTGCCTCATGTATGAGGTACTGCAGCCGGTTATTGCGGAACTTACCAATGACTTGTGAATCAGCCTTGCTCTACTTGGATCTTCCTTCTACCATTTCAATGGGTAATACGGTTCAGCCACTTACAGATGCAGCCAAGAAGTTCCTTGCCATACGTTTCAAGGACATAAGCAAGTAAGGATTACGGAGTGTGTGCCTATATTTCAAAATTAATGGATTTATATTTGACTTGCCACTGAATTTGCAATCCGTGAGTGTTAACTATTTTCGAATGTTAAACTGTTTTCTTCTTTACCAGGTTCCAAGAAGAGGTGCTGAACTTGCCTTTAGCAGGCATTGAGGCCGTTCTGTCCAGCGATAATCTTCAAGTAGCGTCAGAGGATGCTGTTTATGATTTTGTGCTGAAGTGGGCCCGTACACATTACCCTAAGTTGGAGGAACGTCGAGAAATATTAAGCACACAGCTCCTTCGCTTCATCCGTTTCCCATTTATGAGCTGCAGAAAACTGAAGAAGGTCCTGGGATGCAATGATTTTGATCCTGAAATCGCTTCCAAGGTAGTACTTGATGCTCTCTTTTTCAAGGCCGAAGCTCCATATCGACAGCGTTCTCTCGTGGCAGAGGAGGCCAACACTTCCTCCCGTCGTTTTGTGGAACATGCATACAAATATCGACCTATCAAGGTCGTTGAATTTGAATCTCCTGGTCCACAGTGTATTGTTTATCTGGATCTGACACAGGGAGAGTGCGGTCAACTCTTCCCAGCTGGTCGAGTCTACTCACAGGCTTTTCACTTGGGCGGGCAAGGATTTTTCCTATCGGCCCATTGCAACATGGACCAACAGAGTTCTTTCCATTGTTTTGGGCTGTTTCTAGGTATGCAAGAGAAGGGTTCAGTAGCCTTTGCTGTCGACTATGAGTTTGCTTCTAGAATAAAACCATCCGAGGAGTTTGTGAGCAAGTACAAAGGAAACTACACCTTCACTGGAGGAAAGGCGGTTGGCTACCGGAACCTGTTTAGTGTCCCATGGTCTGCATTTATGGATAACGACAGCCCTTACTTCATCGGCGGGATTCTCCATCTAAGAGCTGAGCTTACGATTAAGCAATGAGTTGCCAACAGGACATGTAAGAAAGTAGATCAGCTGATACTTCACATATGTAGGTTCAATTCAAAATGTTGAATGTAATATGACCAAGTGTTTTTGAAATGGTTCTACTGTTCTAGGAGCTATTATGTATATACAAATTCTCTCTTTCATTAACTTCTGAATTTCTTCCTTTATTTAGTTCTAATGTGACTGTGAGTATGCTCCCAATAGAAATTGGGGAATGCCCTAACTCTGGAATCGGGGTCCGACCATCCTTTGTTTGCGGCCGACGTGCTATCTAAAGCCTTCAGATTGGGTTTGGGTTAAAATATTACCTATGGGCCAAATGGAAGTGAAAACCGAAAAGAAGAGAAGGAAAGTGTTTGACTTTTGACATTCTTTTTACAAGTAAATGAAGAATTGATAATCTCCATAATTGTAGTGCTAAACTGGCTCCGTAAGGAAAGAAAAAAAACTATGGCGTGCCTTGACACCGCATTTTATGGGGCAAAGTTTCAGTTTTTGTCTCCCAGCAACAATATGAAGGAAACATAAATGATTAATTCGGGACCCTAAGATTGAACGTAGTTATGATTGCATCACAAACGCATAGACTGTGCGAAAAGAGTCAAATTCTTATTCTGAAGTTTTAGCACAATTTTTATTTGAAAAATCAAGATTTAACTTATATGAGAGTAGAGACTCTTGTTGCTAACTACCTAACCCGAGGATGACCAGAGTCTCGGAGAACGAGTATAAATGATCTATTTAACTACGCTACCTTTTCAAATCTCTTATTAAAGGGCATTTTACATCATATCAAAGGTAAATTTCTGTCGAATTCAAGAGCTAACCATTGAAATGAGACTTGTGGATTGCAGACACTACATTATATACACTTTATGAACACCATGCACATATAATGATCAGCAGATTCTTCGGATTGTACTACATGGGACATAACAAGAGTTTTCACTTGATCTCCTTCATCTTCCTCCAATGCTGTTCTTCCATCCACTGCGTTAGAAGCAGTTTTGATGATGATCTAGCTGCCATTCTTCACGACCGTGCTTTCAAAGCTCTAATCAATGAACGTCCACATACCGGAGCCCTACACAATGCCAGTCTCCCGGCAAACTTAGCAGGCATTAAGGTTTCGGCTGTCGGGCTCAGGAGCAAAACCCTGTGGAGAAAAGGTGCAAATTTCAGCGGTTTTCGTATCCCTCCGAAATCTCTACCAGTGCCTTATGTGAGGAGAATTCTCATTGTTTACCATAATCTTGGCAACTGGTCTTCTTTATACTACAACTTATCAGGTTATTCCCTGATAAGCCCTGTTATTGGGTTTATGGTTTATGATGCATCCCATTTGAGCAGCAGGAGCAAAAATTTCTCAAAACTCGAGCTCAACACAATGAGGAAACCTATTTCAATTGAATTTCACATATCATTGTTAGACAAAAGCACACGAGGAAGAGTAAAATGTGCTGCATTTGATGCTTATGGGAAGGTGTTTCTAAGTGGAATGAACTTTCCTAATGTGTGTTACAGTAAAACTTTAGGCCATTTTTCGATTGTCATTCCGAACAAGAATAAGCCGAAGGTGCGGGTTTTGTGGGTTATCGTGTTTTTGTTCGGGTTCTTGGGGTTGATCTTAGTGGGATTGGGTGCAACCGTAGTTGTAAAATCTGTAACAGAAAGGAAAACTCAAGGCATGGAAAAGGAAGCTGATGATGGAGAGTTCCTCGAAACATATTGGATCAATAGCAGCAAAATTCCTCGTGCAGCAGTAACAAGAACTACTCCCGTACTCGAGAGTACGAACCTTCCAAGATGGTCTTGGTATGGTTAAGTTTTTTGTTTGAATTTTTTCAATTATTTCGATTGGAATCGATTGATTTACTTGCTTCTTTTTCATTTTTTTCCCCCGCTAATATGATGTGGATTTTTGATATGGTTGCATAATCTTGATAGTAGATAATAGTGAGTAAAAAAAACACGTTATTGTGTCGTTTTCCTTAAACGTTGTGCATAAAAACTTCCTAGGTAAAATGGATCATTATGCAGCCATTCAATTAGGCCACATCTCTTTACAGTTTTCAGCAATTAATTCTGATCTACTATTTGCTTATATCCAGCGGTTGAGATGAAGGTTGGCCAACAATGGCATTTTTTGGTTTGCGCCCCCTTTTAATTTCATCATGTTCTTGTTTCCCATATCGAGCATAAAGTTTTAATAGCACCTCATGTCCACCAACAGTGAGTGTAGAATAGGCCAGTCGCGCCTCTACGGCCTCACTGCTTAACGATTTAATACTCGCAGGGCAAAACATATCGAAAAAAGATATTGGAAAAGATTGATGAAGTGTCTTGATTTTTGACAGACAAATTATTTGATAGCACAAGTCGCTTCCGAAATGCAGGCTAGACAGTTTGAAACTTAATTGACATAAATCAGACAACATTAAACAATACGGGGATAAATAGATGGGTGCATTTCTGCTAAAAAAAAAAAACCACACAGATGAACAATCTTATATTCAGCCTTATAAATGTCAGTATGAAGGAGAGTTCTCAATTAATACAACACGGAAATGAAATGAAATGGAATGCCTGTTGCGGAAGCTCTCTCAAAAGATCTTCAAACGGTGGTTTTTCAGGCTCGGTTCAACGTACATTTTTCTACCAACAACCAATCCAAACGGCTCCAAACCACAACCAATTGATTCACCTTGGTTGCTATTCAATCTTATCCACGTATGACAAGAAAGGATGATGATTTATCGCCACAAAAGCTAAGAGAAGACACTACAAAGGTATACTATGAAAGAACCACCAATTGCACACGTTATACCAGCGTTCTGGACACTTCTGGACACATTTTTTCTCACACAAAAGGGGGCAGCCGGGATTCTCTTGTTTCTTATCTTAAAATCACACAATCATCGTATCAAAGTGGCTAGGGTTAGGCTTTAAGTTGGGCCCATTAAAGGGGTAAAAGGGCCAAGATTCAAGCCATCCATAAGGAATACAATTGGGCCAGGTGTAGCTCATGGACTTGGTTGTTGGACTTATTTCATTCATCGGCCTATGCCTATGAAATAATATTAACCCACGTTAACATCATAACTCGAGATTTATTGGGTATCAAAAACCTAACAAATCTCCACCTTGATGTCCAATAAATCTGCAAGCAATCAAAACACACAGTTAACACTTGCATTATCAAGGTAGCCAATAAAATTGGATCACAGACCTTACCTCGTGTTTCCAACTTGAAACACATACCATACCTGCTCCATGTACTCACTGGGGCTAAGGTAAAAAAAAATTCAAGTAGAAGCAAATATTTAACAGTAAACAATCAAGAGCAAATACACATACGATGACGATATACTATAGGATAAAACACACAGATCTTTTCAGAAACACGTTCACATAGAACCATAGATTAACACCAAGTCAATCAAATCATGGTCAACCATATATGCAACACATGCATAAATGACCCTAAGAAAAGATCTCACCACACTTATCATATCCCATTCCGTGTTGCTCACACCTCGAGAACACATATCTCCTCTCATCGCCCACCACGCTCACTAGACAGATCACTCAACTCATGTCTAACTGGTAAGTCACAATAGATCCTAAGTCCACGGGATAATCCTTTATCTCCACATCACTTCTCCCAACCTACGTGGATAATGGGTCTCCACCTAACAGAAGTGATAGAAGTGCCTCTCTCACACTCCACCTGATCAAGGTCTCTTTCCAGATAAAGGATCCTAGACATTTGATCACATCTCCACTCGTGATCCAAATGTCACACTCTACACCCCTCGTGCATATCATCAATACATCTCTAGGCATCTATACTCCACCTTACCAAAAGACATCCAACTCACTACTAATGTATCTCAAACTCACTATGGCAAAACAACACCTTTCGGTGACCACAAAGGTTAATCCACTCACCAATGCTCCCAAAAAATTCACAAAAAAAATAGTGAAGGTGGCACTCTCAAAGAGAATTGAAGAAAGAGTCGGTTACTTCACAACACTCACAAAGGAGGCTCACAAAGAGGAAGAATATAACCCTAACATGGCTGCCTCACATAATCTCACAAACCACACAGGCTCACAAAGATAAAGGAGATAAACGGCTGCCCAACTTTCTTCTCACTACCACACTCTCACACCACTCACAAAGCAAATAGAGTATGCCACAAAACTTAACCCACTATGTATGTAAACATATTACACAAAGTAATAAGTCACTCTAATTCATGCAATTACACATATCAAACATATTGAAAGTGTAAAATCAACATCGCAACAGAATTAAGTGACCACATACATGCAGAAAGGATTACACACAGATGCAATGCAAGAACCAGGTTTATTCTCTCAATAAACCTCACTA